GCGATGGAAAAGAGCCCTTGCGTTTCAACTTCATGACCCCTTCTCGGACAAAGCGCTCGCGAAGGCCGTCGGCCGATTGGCCTTGCACTGGTTTGACTGGGGTCTCCGTGCTGGCGGTTGGGACCACGATTGCGCTGGTGAGGTCCGAGGGTCTGCCAAAGACCGAGAGTTTGATGAGATGGCGCAGAACGGGCCTAGTCTCTGACCCTACCCCCTTTTCCTCTACTACTTGCAACGAACAGCATGCCCCATACAAAGCAGCAAGAGCTGACAGAATTGGTTGACATGGCAGTCCATGAACAGGGTTGCTCACCTTCTTGCCTTTTAGCCTCAACCCCTGACGGCAATCACCCTTTCACCCCTACATACTAACCTTACCCTCTTCCCCATCCAGGTGCTTGCGACAAAGGCGCCACGTCTGTTCGTCTTGCTCTCAATCTTCTTTCGCTGTCTGCTCTTTCTCAGCTGACCACGTCACAACCCTCTTCTCGGTCGAATTCCGCTGCCCCGAGCTTTCGGCTCAATCTCCTGGCACATGGCACGCGGAACAGACGCGCCTGTTCTTGGGATCTATCGGACCCACGAGTCATCCCACGAAGCCAGCATCCGTGGACCGCCTCAGTGGCGGCGGCACTTGGCGCGAGCCCTAACACAGGGCCCCAAAAAGTATGCTCCGCCCCGTGGTCCGAGGCACCGGCGGCGAAAGCTCAAGCGGCAGGACGCATGTCTAGCCCACATGGTAGCGATCTCCCGAGTCCCGGCGTCCGATCCCGACGGCATTCAGGCTCCACCCCACAACGCAAGCAGTAAGCAGCACAGAACAAACCTCCGAGCAAATTATGACAGAGCCACTGTTCATTGACAGGCCGTCACTGGTGACCGCCTGGTCATGTTGTGCTGGTCGTGTTCCACTCCCGTCCATCTCGGGCGAAATTGCAGCGGTTGCCGCTAAGTCTTAACTAAAGGTCCACGACTCCTCATTTCGATACCATCGGACGGATTCCTTAGCGTCACGCGTTGCCGGATCTAACCACTACAGAACCCATCGTGCCTTGCAGCCCGCTCGACGACCCATCTCCTTGCACGCCTAGCACAGCCCTTCCTAGCACCAACTCGGGCATTGTTGCGACTCCGCACAGATGATGGCACCAGAACAGCGGCCACCCATCGCTCTTACATCTGTCAAAGGGTCTGTCAAAGCAGTCAGTCAAGGGATTAGGTCACGATCGCATCTTTGATTCCGAGCCGCGTCTTTCCTGCTTCGCGCGTCCAACCATCGAAGCAAGCCAAGAAGCCTTGGCTTCCCTCTGTTGCATCAATCTGAGACGCCAGTCTCTGTGTTTAGTTGAGCGCTGCTTCTGTCATCTTGGCTGGCATTGCACAAGTCAGTGACGACTAGCGTCATCCGAAATCGGCCAACGTCTCAGCCTTCTCGATTCGGCATTGCTGTTCCAAGAACAGCACCAACATCGCCCAGGGCGTGGTTTCCTCGACAGACGATCGGCTACAGCCCCCCTTGTTTAGTGCCCCGTCCCCTGGCCTTGGGTTCACATCCCGACGTCCATCCCCTTTGTGCCCCCTTTTTGGATTCAAGATCTGCCTTGCCGCTTGCCTATTGTGCTTCAGATCCTCCGACCGTCTCCAAAGGAGGCCACGGTGGCACTGATGAGTTGACGAGCGCATGACACCCCAAAGCCTCGCTGTCAAGAGCTGCACCGCGTCGCCCGGACAGGGCGCCGCGTTTGCACGGGATCAAGCTGTTGAGGCTCACGGACCCCAGCGTGTCGGGACAGCACACCAAGTGGGCATGGTCGAAGATTTCTCTCAAGAGCACCCATGAATCCCAGCCCTGCCGTCCCCTTTTATGACGGCAAGTCAGTGATGATCAGCATGAGCGGGCACCCAATCGGCACTTGGTAGCCGATTCGTTCGCATCACCAGACTGTCTTGAAAGGACGTACCGAGCATGGGAGCGCAAGCTCCTCTCCGCCATTCGCCTCCATAGTAGGAGGAGGCCAACATGCACTTATGTGACCCATCACAATGATTCCATGGCTGGATGCCCACTGACTATTGGACACGTCCGTCGGAAAGCGTGGACGAGCTACTTGGCTCTCGGAGATGATCAGCTGGCCGCGACACCCCGTGAGAGTCATTTCTTCACCCTGGAACCGCGGAGCAACCCAGGATCGACCAAAATCATTCGTACTTCTGGTCTCCCAGAAGCTCTGAGGTGGAACCTGACAGGACCAGTTTGTCTCAAGAGGGTAGACCTTCGAGATCAGCTCCTCAGACGCGTGGACGCTGCTTGCAAGTCGAGCTATGACTCGAAGATAGTCATCATGCAATGGTCATAGCCATGGACGGCGTGTCTTCCTCATTGCGCCTCTTGAAAAGACTTGTTATCATGCGCACAACGCCTTCGAACGTATGTGGTTGTCATACCCGGTTGATTGATCTGGTGTGCCTTGTCGCCTCGGGCTTTGCTTCGGTGAAATACGAGATGTCCGATCTGCGCTTTCCGATACGTGGCTCAGTCCGTCGTTTCGGTTGTTCGTATTAATATTGGAGATTGCCTTTTCGTCACTAACAGATGATCTTTTCAGAGGAAGTTGACCTCGAGATGATTATGTACTACGTGAGGGCTTTTTTTAGACGTCGAAGTCGCCATTGGTCAACGCGGGGGGCATCGTCTGTGGCTCTCTATTCCTAGTATGGCCCCAACGCCATGACAGTAGACAAGTGAAAGTTTTTCCTGCGTCTACCTAAGTATGGTCCTTAGACCTGGCTTTCTGTAAGACGACACCAGGCTAGGGTATGCTGTAGTTTGACATGAAAACAACACACTGGTGATGCGCGTCGAGGTCATGCCCACCCTTCCATGTCTCTATCGCGCTGTTGACACTTTCTTATACAAATGGAATGCTGTGAGGTAATCCCATGGCCAGTCCCGCCGTTTCTTCTTGGCTGTGATACTTCATCCATTACTCAAGACGAGCCTCATCTGGCCCGCACAAACGAAGTCAGTGACGTGGCTGGGTACATAGGCAGATGCGTCATTGCTGATACTACTCGAAACACCGTCTTAGCAGCGTGGAACAAATAGCGCGCGGCACGACGGTCCCGCGGGCAAACATAAAAGAGTGTTTAATTCACCATGTATTGCGGGTTGGCGTTGGCAATGGGAGGTCAACCCTTCGATGTGCCTCCCGACCCTGACCAATACATGACCTTCCCGTGTTGACGATTTCTTTTCGTAGCTTCGATAAGACGATCTTCGACAGCTAGGCCATGAAGCTGTCTATGTGACCCTTTGCAATGGTTGGCCTCGGATTCACGTTTGCTATCACGACTGCATGGGGTTGGACGCATCGCTCCTTCGTCTGAAGACACAACCTTCACTACAACTCCTTCGCTTTCACGTGCTTGAATGCGACCATTGACCCTGGCAGGTTTCGATGAAGATGAGATGGATGCTTCAATCCTGTCGTTCATTATCATAGCCGTCATCCCGTGACCCTGATGTACACATGGCTTGGGAGACGCGTACGCTGTGACCGTCGATATTCTTTTGTGTTCCCAACTAATTCAGATCCCCCTCCGCTTCTGAGCGTTTCCGCCGAATCGACATGTCCTGCAAGTCTCCATGCTGACGCAAAACCAGTCGAATCTCGACCAAGGACCCCAAACGCCACTCAAGCATGTCTATATGAAGCCCCCTGCCAGCTCATCACGCCCCCTGTCATCTTCTCCGTTTGCCGCAGACTCGGAACTGTCTGTCATACACGAGGCAGGCCACCGACTTGGAAGCAAACTGATGCTCCTTGATTGCGGACGTTATCTTTGGACGTTCCGTCTCGGATTTGTCACACATCGCAACACAAGCCATGCCCTCCCAGTAAGACGCCTGCCTCCCTGAAGATTGGCCGCGGATGCTACAAATCGGGCAAGCCTGTTATCATCTTTGGCCTCGGGGGCGAATCAGCGGCAAGACAAGGGGGGTTTCCATCATCTTTCAGCGTTCGGCCTGCTGCATGCCGTCCTACTCAGCCATGTCGTTGGAAATAGGAGCGCCCTCTTCTAGAACCTGTGTATATTGTGTGACCATGGGCTTAAGCCACTCCTTGGCAGACATGTATCGAGCAGAAGAAACCGAAACGCCTTGATCGATAGACGAGAGCCTGCAGCATGCGAGTGAGCACCCTCCAGCCAGAGAAATTTCACGCTCCCCCCTCCCCCGACTGGTTTGCTGACATGTTTGTCCTGCCTGCCGCGAATCTTGCTAGTCTGGCCGTTTGTATTGCAAACCACGCCAACACCGCCCAGGTGTCACAGTGGCTGCGTACAGTCCATCAGAGTGCCTGCTGGCAACCGTCAGCAAAGATAAATCGACAGGATACACCATGGCGAGTACCCGAGAGCCACTCCGTGCGGAATGTTTGACACGCAAGGCGCGCCCTTGGAGACGCAGTAACCTTGGCCTTGGGAGCGCCAGATGGGCGAGACATGTCATTCTATTCATCGTCTCTAACATTTCGTTTTTTGACCCCATTCTTCCCGGTTCCACTGCAGTTATCAAGAGGGCGACCACGCCAAACGGTATCAGGTATCATGCTGCGAAAACCAAGTCCTAGTGCCGATCATCCCGCCGAGCAAGAAACACACAAATCTGATGCAAAGAACAAAGGGGAAGTTCGCACGGGCATGATGACGAATCCCCGAGAGAGGTGAGTGTCCCAGTCTCTTCTCTTCCCAAATTATTCCATCACGTAAAGTCATCATCATGGGCCGGAAAAAATGTCAACCTGACGTGAAGGTCAAACGCTTGCCGAAGTCTTATGCATATGCCATCACCTGTCGCCCCCCCACCTCTGGAAAAAACAAAAGGCTTGACGTCTCTCGTGCCCCCAATCTCTTCTTCCAGGTCAAAGATGAGGCCTTCTTCCAGGTCAAAGATGTGGCTAAGGAGGGAGCCAAATAGAGGAGAACGAATGAGCACGTCAGTGCCTGCGTTTCTTCTTCGGCGGTGGTTTGAGCGGCCACAGGAAATATTGCCCCCAGCGGGGATCCCACCTCGCATCGAGCAGCTGCCAGTGGAGCGGCAGAACGGCGGGCTCGCAATTCTCGTCCCGGCCGATGGTCCAGTGGCCCTGGTACCAGCAGTTCTTGGACGCGTCCCACGCGAAGCTCTCGTGGAACACCCTGCCCTGAGGCGGGTCCATGTAATCCAGCCACTGGGCATGCTCGGCCTTGTTGGCGGGGTTGCAGATCTGGCTCGGATCGAGTTTGGTGCAGTCGGACTTGGACACGATGGGTTTCCCCGCGGCGTCGCGGTCGTTGAAGATGAACATGAGGCGCGCGCTGATCTCGAGGTCCAGGTCGCTGAGGAAACGGCCCTTTTTGACACGGTCGATGAGACTCAACACGAGAGCCTTGTGAGGCCACTTCTGGGCGGACAGCAGGTGTTGCTAGGAAGAGTCAGTCACGCCAGCACGGCAATGCGCAACAGGACTACGAGCTGACCCTCATTTCTGGAAGACTGCTCGTGATGAACGGGCAGTTGTCCATGATGCACTTGTACGCTTGTTTGATGAACCCCCTTGGCCAGTCCAGGCGGACAGCACCACCCGTCGTTGCCATCTTCAAACTTCATGTCGCTGTGAGCATTCCGTGGAATGCACACCTCGCATAAGCCTCTGACGCAGGGTTTCTTGCCGCTGTCATGGTCGAGGTACCAGTGCACCTGGCATAAACAGGTCAATCCAACATTGCGAAGGACAGGGGGAGGGGGTGGGCGGAATGAGGGAACCAAGCATACCTCTCTGCAGCCGGGGCGCGTATGTCCCGGATCTCCTTTTTTGGCAGCTTGGGGCTGTCAAAGTCAGTCAAGGGGGGCTTTCAAGGCGAGACTGGCACCCGCGGAAAGGGGGGCGGCTCTCACCACGCGATGCAGTTTTCGCTCTTCGGTATTGTCCTCTCTGAACAACTTCCTGTTCTCAAGTGACACACCCTTCCACCGCAGGCAGCATTTCTTGCAGACGAACATGGCCGTGTGCTGCAGGGGATGCTGTACCGGGGTCTCAGCCTCGGTCTCCTGCGTTTCCCATCCGATGCCCGTGCCGTATCGTTTTCGCGCGTCCGTCAGCCCATAGTAATCCGTGGTCCAGCCGTGGGATGGCACATCGCCTTCGACAATGGAGATCGAGTCGAAGACTTTTGTGGGTGTCTCGATCACCTCGGATTCCTCCTCCGATTCGGGCTCTGAATCTCCTCTGGGCTCGTCCGCATTGTCACCCACATCCGCGACTTGCCCCTTGCCTTCCTTACTCTTGTCACTATCCCTAGGGTCGTCTTGAGATCTAGCCTGAGCGGCCTTGTTCTTGTTCTTGGGCTTCCTCATAACGTTGGAATTGCCCCTCGTCCTGGCGTTTTCCTTCAGTTTCGCCATGAGCTTAGCGTTGAGCATGGCTCTAGGCCTGTCCGACAGACGGTCCTCAAGGGCACTCAAATGCCTGTCATCAGAGTCGAACGGGTCTTCGACGTCAGCTTCCGGCTGCTGCCTCGCGTCTACCGAAGCATGCTGGGCCAGGTCCTGCGTCTCGTCCAACGGCTCGCTGGACGCTTTCCTCTTCTTGTTCGCCTCCTCCTCGATCCCTCTGAGGAAGGTATCGACGTGTCCGTGTATACCAACAAGCACCTGGCGGATTCGATTTGGGTCAAGGTCACTGAGGGCGCTGGGGTCGATCGACATGACAGCTGAGTCAAATACGGCTTGCTGCTGCTGTTGCTGCTGCTGCTGCTGCTGAGGCGGCGGCGGCGGCGGCGCGGCGGCGAAGTTGCAGTGTCTCATACGACGAACAGCCGTCGGTGGGCGCTGGTGGCGCCGCCGGTTCGAGATCTCACCAAAGCCGGGGTTCCGTAGGCGTCAAGAACTGGGCACCGGGCGGCGTCTCGAGGGCGGCGGGCAGCAGGACCGGGGCGTAGGAGCCATCTGGGCCCGACCCAACCCAGGGCTCCTGCTGCTGCTGCTGCTGCTGCTGCGTTGACGTGTGGGGGCTGCCGTAAAAATGATCCGGGTGAAGATGGTACTGCTCATGCTCCTGATACTGCGGTGATCGCTGCTGCGCATACGGGTCGTACTCTGTCATGACGGGCGCCGTGTGAGCTGGCGCTGGCGCGTCGAAATGCGGGTGGCCATGCGGCTGGCCGCGACTCATCTGCGACGGCGGCGGGGGTGGCATGCCCCAAGACTGCTGTTGTGCAAGGTGGGCATTGTACGGCACCGTGAAGCCTGAAAACCTGTGATCTCCAAAGTTGGCCTGCGGCTGAGGCGTGACGGTGAGGCTCATTTTGGAAGCGCGAGGAGGGCCCGGCCTGATCTGTAGGGACCCGAAAAGACCGATGTGTGTGTGAGAGCGTCAGGGTGAGAGAGACTGGCGATCAAGATGAAACCGTGTGAGAGTTGAGAGAGCGAATTGCCAGTGAACGCGAAAGCTGGTGGTCGGCGTCTTGAAAGGGGAACTGATGCGCGCCCTTGACGTTACACAGTAGCTTGATGTCTGGGCACGACCAATATCTGACAGCAGCAACAGCAGCACCACCAGCACCACCAAGGGATCGAGGCGGTGGACGAAGGACGTTGCCTTATCAGCGTCTGCACCAGGCCGGTCAGGCAGATCTGTGGCGCAGAGTAGGAAGCAGGCGAGCAAACGCGTTTGACCTCCTTGCTTTCCTCGTTTCCTCGGTCTCACGTTGTCTCCTCTGTGCTGGTGTTCAGGTCAAGTCAGGCTCCGACTTGCGCCCAGGGTCAGGCTGTATACTTGGGGGGCGCAGAAGAGAAGCGGCTGTCGGGTGAATGTGCGTAGTGCAGTGTAGTGCAGCGTACCAGTCAGAGACATGCCTGTTCAACGGCGAGGCGCAACAACTGTCCGAGCGGCGTATCCTTGCTGATATGCTATCTTGACGACAGGATGGTGGAAAAGGGACGGGCGTCAAACCAGTGATGATGGGGAGATGGGAGCCCAGCCCGCCGTCGGCGACACAGACAATGTAAAGCAAGGCACCTTGAGGCAAGGTACCTTGGGACAGGCCAGGTAGGGTCACACAAGAGGGAGGTTTGGGTATGGTGTCACGGCATAAAAATCGCGACGCCAACCCATCCATGCGTCGTTTCCCTCCACCCATCTCCTGGCCCAAAAGAAATGGGAGCCATGTATTGCATCAATTAGAAAGTCAGACGGGGCGGCGTTAAGCCATGGATGATGGGCTTCTGCTGTCCTCCGCTGCCCTCCTCCAACCTTCATCCCTCCCTGCCCCGTGTCACACCCGGCCGACGCTCGTGTCTCCACGTTGCCTTGCGTCGAACTTGAGGCGAGTGAGATTCAAATCCATGCCTCACAAGTCTTTTTGACGTGCCCGCGCCAGCTTCACCCACTTGGTGCACCCCCCCTCAAAGTGCGTGTGGAGATTGTTCAGGCAGGGCCCTCTCCAGGCCCAGTCGATGAACGAACAGCCCAATCCCCTGGTCCTCACCACCCCCGGCGACCATCGGAGGATCGGGAAGAGAGGGGGGGGGGGACCACACCCCTCCCCATGCGCAGATGCGAAGAAGAGATCGATAGACATAATGACCAACAAGACGACTTAGATCTGGTGGGTGACGGGCCAATGAAGCGCCCGCAAAGCATTTGCAATCGTGGGACTATGGACCGTCCTTGGTCCTCTGCATGGCGCTCTCGTTGTAGTCTAGCCTGGGGGGGGACAACCTGGACGACTCATTTGTTGATGAGCCTTGCTTAATGGCGATGTTTTCTTTTTCGTCTCCTCATCTTGGGCCGACAGAGAGAGGTCCTTGCACGTTCACGCGTCAACGAAGGCTGGATTGGCCGGCCTGTCTGTTCCGCATGTATTGTCATGTCGCTCATC